GCCACAGTTGGGTAATGGGGCTGGTGTGGCCACAGTTGGGTAATGGGGGGTGTGGCCACAGTTGGGTAATGGGGCTGGTGTGGCCACAGTTGGGTAATGGGGCTGGTGTGGCCACAGTTGGGTAATGGGGATGGTGTGGCCACAGTTGGGTAATGGGGCTGGTGTGGCCACAGTTGGGTAATGGGGATGGTGTGGCCACAGTTGGGTAATGGGGATGGTGTGGCCACAGTTGGGTAATGGGGCTGGTGTGGCCACAGTTGGGTAATGGGGCTGGTGTGGCCACAGTTGGGTAATGGGGCTGGTGTGGCCACAGTTGGGTAATGGGGCTGGTGTGGCCACAGTTGGGTAATGGGGCTGGTGTGGCCACAGTTGGGTAATGGGGATGGTGTGGCCACAGTTGGGTAATGGGGCAAGTGTGGCCTCAGTTGGGTAATGGGGATGGTGTGGCCACAGTTGGGTAATGGGGCAAGTGTGGCCTCAGTTGGGTAATGGGGCAAGTGTGGCCACAGTTGGGTAATGGGGATGTGTGGCCACAGTTGGGTAATGGGGCTGGTGTGGCCACAGTTGGGTAATGGGGCAAGTGTGGTGTGGCCACAGTTGGGTAATGGGGCTGGTGTGGGCCACAGTTGGGTAATGGGGCTGGTGTGGCCACAGTTGGGTAATGGGGATGTGGGCTGGTGTGGCCACAGCCCAGTGGGTAATGGGGCTGGTGTGGCCACAGTTGGGTAATTGTGGGCCACAGTTGGATAATGGGGATGGTGTGGCCACAGTTGGGTAATGGGGCTGGTGTGGCCTCAGTTGGGTAATGGGGCTGGTGTGGCCACAGTTGGGGTAATGGGATGGTGTGGCCACAGTTGGGTAATGGGGCTGGTGTGGCCACAGCCACAGTTGGGTAATGGGCTGGTGTGGCCACAGTTGGGTAATGGGGCTGGTGTTGGGTAATGGGCTGGTGTGGCCACAGTTGGATAATGGGGCTGGTGTGGCCACAGTTGGGTAATGGGGCTGGTGTGGCCACAGTTGGGTAATGGGGCTGGTGTGGCCACAGTTGGGTAATGGGGCTGGTGTGGCCACAGTTGGGTAATGGGGCTGGTGTGGCCACAGTTGGGTAATGGGGCTGGTGTGGCCACAGTTGGGTAATGGGGCTGGTGTGGCCACAGTTGGGTAATGGGGCTGGTGTGGCCACAGTTGGGTAATGGGGCAAGTGTGGCCTCAGTTGGGTAATGGGGATGGTGTGGCCACAGTTGGGTAATGGGGCTGGTGTGGCCCGGCCTGGCCCTCACCCTTCCTCTCCTGCCACAGTGTCCTCCGATGCTCCTCTGATAAGCATACTCATCATCTCCTTTTTTGTCTTTTTAATGAGTTTTTCTTAGATTGTGGGATATTTTGAGTGCTCAGATAACTCCGAAGTGTGTTTTGAGAACAATCTCAAAAGTGTGTACTTGCTATATATTGTATCTAATGATTTTTTTTGTTTGGTGATGGGGCCTCCGTCTCGCCTGTTTGGCTCTCTTCTATATCTGTAACACCACTATAATGTACCACTACAATGGAACACCACTATAATGGAACACTAAACTAATAATGTAAACACTACTTATCCTGAGTAACACTTCCCCATCGGTTGCACTTGATAACACTGTTATGAAACACGGTAATGTGAGCTGACATATGATGGTTACACCGGAACCAAAAGATACACTGCCAATAAGGAAATGCTAACACAAGGATTAAATACGCTGCCACCATCTGCCTTTGACCATTGAGACTATATCAAGCAACGAGGCAAGAAACATTGCTTGACTTGGAGAGTACTTTCTATGACTGTCATTAATTATGAAAACGGTTGTCAGCCACTATATCCAAAAGGCTAAGAGGATTCAACAATTGACACAGACGGGAAATTTATCCTGAGTTTATTAAAGACCAAAATTATGTCAATCACCACTTATAAATCCTACTCTAACACTGGCAAAAAGTTAAGAAATTTGGACATGGAACAAAACCTCAGAGATCACACACATTACCTTAAGACCTGTCTCTCCCTGGCTGAGATGTTCTTCACAGCCCTCTCTGGACCCCGGTGTCCGGCACTCTGTCCTCACTAAGTCCCTACAGGACCTCTATATACAACCCCCACAGGGGGGAGGGGGAGATCTGCTGTTGCTACCTACCCCAAGAATGTAAAAGATCGGCCACACGTGTACAAACACTCAAGAAATATTTCAATAAGCTTGTTTGACATTCACCATACACTCTTCAAGAGAGGAGTTATTAATTACGTGTGTGACTGACCTCTGACCTGGCCAAAAGGGGGAGATCCAAGGATGTTTACACATAAGAATCTGGAGTCTAATTCCCTTGCATGAAATATTACATACTTGAAACTATGCTGACTAAGACTAACCCAGGAATTTTTTTTTTAATCAACATACAAGATAAACCGGAGGTCATCTGGGCTGACCTCTTGGAGAAGGCTTCCCTGGGTGTGAACTCTAAGGGGGGGGGAGGTCCTGGGTGTTACATGGATGAATGACTGGTTTGTGGATGAGTGGGGAAATGGGCGTGTAAGTCAACTGATGCAGGAATTTCTGTATGAGTATATTGATGTGTGTATGCGTAAGTGATCGAGCAGTGTCAGCATCATTCCATCACATAAAGTCTCCAGGGCCAGATGAGGTATATGCCAGGGTGCTGGAGGAATACAAAGCTGAGCTTAGTGAGCCCCTCCTCTTGCATATTAAAGTAATCAATAGAGTCGAGCAGAGTTCCTGCATCATGGAGGGCTGCTAATGTGGTGCCCAGTTGTAAAGAAGGGAGCTGGATCACTAGTATCGAACTACCGTCCACGTAACTTAAAGCAGACAGCAAGTCGTAATACCAGGACTCGAATTTAAGACACCCAGTTCTCGCATTAAAAAAATAAATGAAAGTGACAACGTGTCTGTCCATCTGGGATGATTATCAAGACCACACTACTTGATGATGGTCCGGGACAGCATAAACGTTCATGCCTTTTTGTCCAGATGTGTGGGGTTAGGTGTCTTAACTAACTTAATGTCTATTGTAGGAAAATGGCTCAACTTAATCATCTCAAAAGCGATTCGTTTACATACATTTAATATAAGATTCACGCCATGCCTTGACTAAGGGCTGCTCATGGTTAGCAAATTTATTCTCATTCTTTTCTAGTATACTCCAAGCATGATGACAGTGGGGAGGAGTATGACACCTTGACTTAAACACCCCACAAGAGACGTAAGGAAGTTAGAGACAAGGTATTAAGGGAGGTTTATTCTTAGTTGGATTACAAATGGATATTCTTACTCTGGTTAGCCCAACCACTTGGGCTGGACGGTAGAGCGACGATCTCGCTTCATGCAGGTTGGCGTTCAATCCCCTACCGTCCAAGTGGTTGGGTACGCATTCCGTCCCACCTTCCCTAAATCCTTATCCTGACCCCTTCCCAGTGCTATATAGTCGTAATGGCTTGGCGCTTTCTCCTGATAGTCCCTCCCCTCCCCCTCTTACTCTGGTTATTTCAAAGAATGCAGCGAGAGTAGAGGAAGATAAGTGCGAGGAAGATACTGTTTTAACTGGAGTGCCCCAAGGCCCTGGCCTGCGCTCCTGGTACCCCTGGCCTTTACCACATCAGCAACAGCGTCTACAGATTTTTAGATGGTGCAGAAAAAGGGATCGGAATAAATTCAGTAGAAGACTCAAAATAAATGCAAGACGATTTAGATTTCTAAAATGGACGAGAGATTGACAGATGTCGTTTGTTTAAATTATAAGGCTCTAAGCTTAATAACTTAAAATAAAGCAAATAGGATTCTGGGATATATTTATAGAAGTGTTAGCAAAGGACATCTAACCACCACATCTCACCCCTCACCCCACCACAGCTCACCCCTCACCCCACCACAGCTCACCCCTCACCCCACCACAGCTCACCCCTCACCTCCACCACACCCCTCACCCCTCACCCCACCACAGCTCACCCCTCACCCCACCACAGCTCACCCCTCACCCCACCACAGCTCACCCCTCACCCCACCACAGCTCACCCCTCACCCCACCACAGCTCACTCCTCACCCCACCACAGCTCACCCCTCACCCCACCACAGCTCACTCCTCACCCCACCACAGCTCACCCCTCACCCCCACCACAGCTCACCCCTCACCCCACCACAGCTCTCCCCTCACCCCACCACACCTCTCCCCTCACCCCACCACCTCACCCCTCACCCCACCACAACTCACCCCTCACCCCACCACAACTCACCCCTCACCCCACCACAACTCACCCCTCACCCCACCACAACATCACCCTTCACCCCACCACAACATCACCCCTCACCCCACCACGACATCACCCCTCACCCCACCACATCTCACCCCTCACCCCACCACAGCTCACCCCTCACCCCCCACCACACCCCTCACCCCTCACCCCACCACCCCTCACCCCTCACCCCACCACCCATCACCCCTCACCCCACCACCCCTCACCCCTCACCCCACCACAGCTCACCCCTCACCCCACCACCCCTCACTCCTCACCCCACCACAGCTCACCCCTCACCCCACCACAACATCACCCCCTCACCCCACCACAACTCACCCCTCACCCCACCACAACTCACCCCTCACCCCACCCCACACACCTCACCCCTCACCCCACCACAACTCACCCCTCACCCCACCACACCCCTCACCCCTCACCCCCACCACAACATCACCCCTCACCCCACCACCCATCACCCCTCACCCCACCACAACATCACCCCTCACCCCACCACATCTCACCCCTCACCCCACCACCCCTCACCCCACCACAACTCACCCCCACCACAACATCACCCCTCACCCCCACCACAACATCACCCCTCACCCCCACCACAATATCACCCCTCACCCCACCACAACATCACCCCTCACCCCACCACAACACCACCCCTCACCCCACCACATCTCACCCCTCACCCCCTCTTGTCTACAGCTCGTCGTGGATCGTGGCGGGCAAGGCGGACCCCAACTCTCCCCCCAGGATCCACGTCCACCCGGACTCCCCCGCCAAGGGCGGCCAGTGGATGAAGCAGGTCCTCTCCTTCGACAAGCTCAAGCTCACCAACAACCAGCTCGATGACAATGGCCATGTATGTCCTCGCCTCTTTAGTTACCTGTTGTTTGTGGCTGTGTGGAGGTGTTTGTGGTTGTGTGGAGGTGTTTGTGGGTTGTGTGGAGGTGTTTGTGGTTGTGTGGAGGTGTTTATGGTTGTGTGGAGGTGTTTGTGGGTTGTGTGGAGGTGTTTGTGGTTGTGTGGAGGTGTTTGTGGGTTGTGTGGAGGTGTTTGTGGTTGTGTGGAGGTGTTTGTGGTTGTGTGGAGTGTTTTGTGGGTTGTGTGGAGGTGGTTGTGTGGAGGTGTTTGTGGGTTGTGTGGAGTGTTTGTGGGTTGTGTGGAGGTGTTTGTGGTTGTGTGGAGGTGTTTGTGGGTTGTGTGGAGGTTGTGTGGAGGTGTTTGTGGTTGTGTGGAGGTGTTTATGGTTGTGTGGAGGTGTTTGTGGGTTGTGTGGAGGTGTTTGTGTGGAGGTGTTAGAGGGTTGTGTGGAGGTGTTTGTGGTTGTGTGGAGGTGTTTGTGGTTGTGTGGAGGTGTGTGTGTGCAGGTGTTTGTGGTTGTGTGCAGGTGTGTGTGGTTGTGTGGAGGTGTTTGTGGTTGTGTGGAGGTGTTTGTGGTTGTGTGGAGGTGTTTGTGGTTGTGTGCAGGTGTGTGTGGTTGTGTGCAGGTGTGTGTGGTTGTGTGGAGATGTGTGGAGGTGTTTGTGGTTGTGTGGAGGTGTTTGTGGTTGTGTGCAGGTGTGTGTGGTTGTGTGGAGGTGTTTGTGGTTGTGTGCAGGTGTGTGTGGTTGTGTGGAGGTGTTTGTGGTTGTGTGGAGGTGTTTGTGGTTGTGTGCAGGTGTGTGTGGTTGTGTGCAGGTGTGTGGTGGTTGTATGGAGGTGTTTGTGGTTGTGTGGAGGTTGTGTGTGTGTTGTGTGGTTGTGGCAGGTGTTTGTGGTTGTGTGGAGGTGTTTTGTGGTTGTGTGCAGGTGTTTGTGGTTGTATGGAGTGTTTGTGGTTGTGTGCAGGTGTTTGTGGTTGTGTGCAGGTGTTTGTGGTTGTGTGGAGGTGTGTGTGATTTATTTATTGTAATCGTGTTGTGACTGAAGACAAAGCTCTAAAAACTGTTATAAATGATAAGTTTATTATCGCGATTTGAGTGCATCCCCCCCCCCCCCCCTCTCTATCTCTCAGCAAAGCATCTTATATTGTAAAGCACCCCATTAACCCCCCCCCCACACACACACACAGCCAGCACCCCCCACACCCCAGTAACCCCCAAACACACAGCCAGCACCCCAGTAACCCCCCCCTCACACAGCCAGCCAGCACCCCAGTAACCCCCAAACACACAGCCAGCACCCCAGTAACCCCCCAAACACACAGCCAGCACCCCAGTAACCCCCCTCACACACAGCCAGCACCCCAGTAACCCCCCACAAACACACAGCCAGCACCCCAGTAACCCCCCCCCAAACACACAGCCAGCACCCCAGTAACCCCCAAACACACAGCCAGCACCCCAGTAACCCCCCAAACACACAGCCAGCACCCCAGTAACCCCCCAAACACACAGCCAGCACCCCAGTAACCCCCCAAACACACAGCCAGCACCCCAGTAACCCCCCAAACACACAGCCAGCACCCCAGTAACCCCCAAACACACAGCCATAACCCCAGTAACCTCCAAACACACAGCCAGCACCCCAGTAACCCCCAAACACACAACCAGCACCCCAGTAAGCCAGCACCCCACCCCCCAACACACAGCCAGCACCCCAGTAACCCCCAGTAAACACACAGCCAGCACCCCAGTAACCCCCAGTAACACACACAGCCAGCACCCCAGTACAGCCAGCCCCCAAACACACAGCCAGCACCCCAGTAACCCCCCAAACACACAGCCAGCACCCCAGTAACCCCCCCCCCACACACACACAGCCAGCACCCCAGTAACCCCCAAACACACAGCCAGCACCCCAGTAACCCCCCCAACACACACAGCCAGCACCCCAGTAACCCCCAAACACACAACCAGCACCCCAGTAACCCCCCAAACACACAGCCAGCACCCCAGTAACCCCCCAAACACACAGCCAGCACCCCAGTTACACCCCAGTAACACACAGCCAGCACCCCAGTAACCCCCCAAACACACAGCCAGCACCCCAGTAACCCCCCAAACACACAGCCAGCACCCCAGTAACCCCCCCAACACACAGCCAGCACCCCAGTAACCCCCCACACACACAGCCAGCACCCCAGTAACCCCCCCACACACAGCCAGCACCCCAGTAACCCCCCAAACACACAGCCAGCACCCCAGTAACCCCCTCCCCACACACACAGCCAGCACCCCACCCCCCAAACACAGTAACCCCCCCACACACAGCCAGCACCCCCCCACACACACAGCCAGTAACCCCCCACAACACCCCAGTAACCCCCCACACACAGCCAGCACCCCAGTAACCTCCAACACACACAGCCAGCACCCCAGTAACCCCCAACACACAGCCAGCACCCCAGTAACCCCCACACACAGCCAGAACCCCAGTAACCTCCCACACACAGCCAGCACCCCAGTAACCCCCCACACACAGCCAGCACCCCAGTAACCTCCCACACACAGCCAGCACCCCAGTAACCCCCAAACACACAGCCAGCACCCCATTAACCCCACACACAGCCAGAACCCCAGTAACCTCCCACACACAGCCAGCACCCCAGTAACCCCCACACACAGCCAGCACCCCAGTAACCTCCCACACACAGCCAGCACCCCAGTAACCTCCCACACACAGCCAGCACCCCAGTAACCCCCAAACACACAGCCAGCACCCCAGTAACCCCCACACACAGCCAGAACCCCAGTAACCTCCCACACACAGCCAGCACCCCAGTAACCTCCCACACACAGCCAGCACCCCAGTAACCTCCCACACACAGCCAGAGCACCCCAGTAACCTCCCCCCACACACAGCCAGCACCCCAGTAACCTCCCCCCAGCCAACCCCACACAGCACAGCCAGCACCCCAGTAACCCCCCAAACACACAGCCAGCACCCCAGTAACCCCAGTAACCCCCCAAACACACAGCCAGCACCCCAGTATCCCCCCCAACACACAGCCAGCACCCCAGTAACCCCCGCCCCTGGCCTCTCGTCCCCCAGATCATCCTCAACTCGATGCACAGGTACCAGCCAAGGTTCCATGTGGTCTACGTCAACCCCAAGACGGAGGACGTCTCCACCACCGAGAACTTCAGCACCTTCATCTTCCCGGAGACCAAGTTCACCGCCGTCACCGCCTACCAGAACCACCGGGTGAGTGCCAGGGTGGGCAGTGCCAGGCAGGGGAGTGTCATGGTGGGAAGGACCAGCGTGGGCTGTGCCTGGCGGGGGAGTTACATTGTGGGCAGTGCCAGCCGGGGGAGTGCCAGGGTGGGAAGGGCCAGGGTGGGCAATGCCACGCGGGAGAAAAGCTTCAATCCGGAGGTGAATCCGGAGGCTTCAAGCAACGGAAAGCTCGCCAAATTAATGTGTAACCCTTGTTCCCGTTGTTGCAACTATGTTGCTCCAAGCAGTCAAGTCTTACAGGCGGTAACTCACCTGCTTGATACCTGCTTGGTGGGGTTCTGGGAGTTCTTCTACTCACCAAGACCGGCCCGAGGCCAGGCTTGACTTTTGAGAGTTTGGTCCACTAGGCTGTTGCTTGGAGCGGCCCGCAGGCCCACATACCCACCACAGCCCGGTTGGTCCGGCACTCCTTGGCGGAAACTATAAAGTTTCCTCTTAAAGATGTCCACGGTTGTTCCGGCAATATTTCTTATAGTCGCTGGGAGGATGTTGAACAACCGCGGACCTCTGATGTTTATACAGTGTTCTCTGCATTTCTTCCATATCGTTCACTCCAGTATGTTGTTATTTTACTGTGCAGATTTAGGACCAGGCCCTCCAGTATCTTCCACGTGTATATTATTTGATATCTCTCCCGTCGTCTTTCTAGCGAGTATATTCGGAGAGCGTTGAGACGATCCCAATAATTTAGATGCTTTATCTTGTTATGTATCCCGTATAAGTTCTCTGTACTCCTTCTATTTCAGCAATCTCTCCTGCTCTGAAGTGGGAAATGAGTACTGAGCAGTACTCAAGACGGGACAACACAAGTGATTTTAAGAGTACAACCATTGATTAAATGAATCTAGGAGTGGGATCCCTGGATTTGAAAGTTCTCGTAATCTATTTTATCATTTTTTTGGCTGCCGCAATATTTGCTTGGTTATGCTCCCTAAACGTTAGGTCGTCAAACATCATTATTCCCTAATCCTTTACATGTTGCCTTCCTACTATGGGCAAATTTGATTGCGTTTTGTACTCTGTATTATGTTTAAGATCCTCATTTTTACCGTATCTGAGTACCTGGAATTTATCGCTGTTAAACATCATGTTATTTTCTGCTGCCCAGTCGAAAACTTTATTAATATCCGCTTGTAGTTTTTCAATGTCTTCAGCAGAGGTAATTTTCATGCTGATTTTTGTGTCATCTGCCAAGGATGATACGAAGCTGTGCCTTGTATTTGAGTCTATATCTGATATGAGAATAAGGAAAAGCAGTGGTGCAAAGACCCTTAGGTACAGAGCTTTTAACTGCACTTGGACTCGATTTTTTATGGTTGACCGTTACTCTTATGTTCTGTTCGACAGAAAACTGAGTATCCAGCGTCCTACTTTACCAGTTATTCCCATTGACCTCATTTTGTGTGCTATCACTCCATGGTCACATTTATCGGATATCTTTGCGAAATCCGAGAAAATCACATCTGCATTCTGTTTTTCTTCTAATGCCTCAGTGATTCTGTCGTAATGGTCAAGTAGGCACACACACGCAGCCGGATTGTACTCAAACAGAAAATTATAATCTGTTTAGATCCAACACCTTCATATATATACTGTCAGCACAAAGCGTCCACCACTGTGGACGCTTTGTGCACAAACTACTGTGCGACACAGTGATTTGCCAGGATCAGGTTGGGTTACCGTTACCTGTGGCAGGTGGCTATAGGTGACTGTGGCAGGTGCCTACAGGTAACTGTGGCAGGTGGCTACAGGTAACTGTGGCAGGTGGCTACAGGTGACTGTGGCAGGTGGCTACAGGTAACTGTGGCAGGTGCCTACAGGTAACTGTGGCAGGTGGCTACAGGTGACTGTGGCAGGTGGCTATAGGTGACTGTGGCAGGTGGCTACAGGTGACTGTGGCAGGTGGCTACAGGTGACTGTGGCAGGTGCCTACAGGTGACTATGGCAGGTGGCTACAGGTGACTGTGGCAGGTGGCCACAGGTGACTGTGGCAGGTGGCTACAGGTGACGGATCTCCCAATCCTGAGCACTCCAGGTGCAAACTCTGTGACCAGGAACTAGGTCTTGACCTCCCACACTACATCACTGAATGGCCAGTCATTAGACCATTCAGACCCCAGGCTCTTTGCAATTACTTTATTCAGACTCGTGTTCTTGAAGATACCCTCAAAATACATGAATGTTTGCCAGTGCAGACTACAGATCACATGGCCCTGTATGACTAACTAGCCTGCAAGATGAGGACACTTAGCATCACACAGCTTGCTCTGGACACTGTGTAACCCTTCACATAGTCTAGGGCAGCTGTGAGCAGGTCCCGCACCATGTTAGTCAACAAAACATACAAGGGAAGCAGCCCCTGGTCCCTGTGAAACATGTCGCGACACCCGTAACAATGGTGTGAGGTGTGACGCATGTGACGGCCAGAGGTATCACGTCACCACACGTCCTGTGACGCTCGGGTTCCCCACCAGTGGTGGGGACGGGACTGTACACACACAGTTGTGCTTATGGGGGGTTGAGCTTCGGCTCTTTGGTCCCGCCTCTCAACTGTCAATCAACCGGTTTACAGGTTCCTGAGCCTACTGGGAGCTATCATATCTACACTTGAAACCGTGTATGGAGTCAGCCTCCACCATATAACTGTCTAATGTATTTTTATTTGTTAACTGAACAAATTTGGGTGCTAAGTTTCCATGTGTGTCCTCTTGTTCGTTCTCCACCCGTGCTAAATAGTTTGTCGTTGTCCACCCTGTCAATTCCCCTGAGAATTTTGTAGGTGGTTATCATGTCTTCCCTTACTCTTCTGTCTTCCAGGGACGTGAGGTTCAGCTCCCTTAGCCTTTCCTCGTAGCTCATACCTCTCAGTTCTGAGACTTGTCTGGTGGTATACCTCTGGACTTTCTCTAACTTTGTCTTGTAAACACAAGACAAGACAAAGATCTAGGTATGGACTCCAGGCTGGAGCTACATACTCCAGAATTGGTATGTAGTGTACATGCTGCTATGGCGGTGTGTCCACTCACAGGATGAGTGGCGCTGCCCAATAAACTCGCCCCTCGGGGCAAAATTTAAAAAAAAAATCAGTGGTATACAAGGTTCTGAACGATTCCTTACTCAAGTTTCGAAAGGCAGTTCTTATGTTGGCCACATATGCCGCTGATGATATCCTTTTGATGTGGGCATTTGTGCCTGCAAGATCCTGCTGTTAGCTCTAGGGCCCCAACATTTTACCCGTCGGTTATTTAATGTACAGGCTCCGGACCTGTTTGTTGGATATCGTATCTACTACATCTCTCTCTTTCTCGCAAACGGGTTTAACGACAGTAAAAAGAGAAACAATAATGATAACATACGGCAAAGTAAGAGAAACGGATCATAAAACGGCCGGTGAGTGCGAGAGAGAGAGAGAGAGAGAGAGAGAGAGAGAGAGAGAGAGAGAGAGAGAGAGAGAGAGAGAGAGAGAGAGAGAGAGAGAGAGAGAGAGAGAGAGAGAGAGAGAGAGAGAGAGAGAGAGAGAGAGAGACAGAGAGACAGAGAGACAGAGAGACAGAGAGACAGAGAGAGAGAGCGAGAGCAGATAAACGTCAGGAGAAAGAAAAGAGCCAATGATAAACTTCAAAAAACGACCGCGAATGGAACACACACGTTGAGAGTTAGCGGAGTGCGCTTGATAGCAATCGAGCCTAGCGCTACTAATGAGCGGGAGGCGCTAGGTCACGTGACACCTTGACGTGTGTGGGGAGGGAGAGGAGAGAGAAAGCGTGAGAGGGAAAGAAGACGGGAGAAACAGAGAAACTGGACGGTAAAAGAGAAAAGGAAGATGAGAAAAGAGAGCGAGAGAGAGAGAGAGGAGGAAGAGAAGACAGTAATAACCAGATGGAAAGCATGAAACAGAAATATAAGAAAAGGGAGAGAGGGAGAGAGGAAGAGGATGGGAAGGGGCGCCCCAACATGATGGATGAGAGGGGGGGACGTCTCCAGCTACTCTAAGGGAATGAGGGAAGTGGTCCCATTTGTGTATATATAGATGCCTGTAGTTGAGAGAGAGAGAGAGCGAGAGATAGAGAGACAGAGGCAGAAACACACTCACACACACACACACACACACACACACACACACACACACACACACACACACACACAATTCTTAACAGATATAGCCTGGGAAACAGAGCTCAGGGGAAAGATGGCCCAAGACATGATGGACTACATCACGCAGAAGTGTTGCCCGGGTCCAAAAGGAAAAAAAATGCAAATGGTTAAACCCATGGTTTAATCAGAGATGTAGGCTGGCAAAGTAACTAAGCACAAGGGCGTGGAGAAACTATAGAAATAACAGGACACTAGAGGGCAGAGAAAGATACCAGAGTGCCAGGAATGAGTACCTCAGGGAGTGAAGAGAGACAGAAAGACAGAACGAAAATGACAGGCAAGTAAGAATGATACCAAGATACTCAACCTATATTGCTGCACAGCCACATCATAACGAAAACAACAGTGAAAGAACAGGTAATGAAACTGAGGATAGGGGCAGACAGATTCACTACAAATGACAAGGAAGGGTGTGAGGAACTCAATAAGAGATTCAAGGAGGTCTTCACATTTGAGAAAGGAGAAGTTCCAGAGATAAGAGAGGGAATATCTAACCAGGTACTAACCAGGAGGAGTTTGAGATTACCAATAAGATTACAAATCTAATGATTTGCTTGAGTTGGATATGACAAAGGCTATAGACCGGGAGGGAATCTCACCATGGACACTAAACGAAGGAACAGAAGTACTGTTCCTACCACTCTCCATGGTGTATAACAAATCACTGGTAACAGGAGAACTGCCAAAAATTTGGAAGACGGCTAATGTAGTCCCGATATGCAAGAAGGGTGACAGACAGGAGACACAGAACTACAGGCCAGTGTCCCAGACTTGCATACCATGAAAGGTGATGGCGAAAATTGTGCAACAAAAAAAATGGTAGAGTATCTGGAGCGAAAGAGCTTTGTAACACATCATCAACATGGGTTCAGGGATGGCAAATCTTGCCTCACAGGAATAACTGAATTTTATGACCAGGCAACACAAATTAGGCAAGAAAGAGAGGGCTGGGCAGACTGCATATTTTTGGATTACCAGAAAGCCTTTAACACAGTACCACATAATAGACTAGTGCACAAGCTGGAGATGCAGGCAGGAGTGAAAGGAAAGGTACTCCATTGGATAAGGGAGTATTTTAGCTACAGGACACAGCGAGTCACTGTGAGAGGTGAGGTCCCTGAGTAGCAAGGCGTCACCAGTGGAGTCCTACAGGGGTCAGTCCTTGGACCTATACTATTTCTGCTATATGTAAATGATCTGCCAAAAGGAATAGACTCGTTCCTTTCAATGTTTGATGAAGATTCAAAAATTATGAGGAGGATTAAGACAAAGGATGATAGTATGAGGCTACAAGATGACTAAGTCAAACCGAAGGAATGGTCCAATAACTGGCTACTAAAGTTTAATCCAAGAAAATGTAAGGTTATGAACCTAGATGGAAGGAACAGGAGACCAGACACAATGTACCGAATAAGAGACGAAGTCCTCCACGAAACGGACGAAGAGAAAGATCTATGAGTTGATATCACGCCGAATCTGTCTCCTGAAACCCCACATCAAAAGAATATCATCAGCGGCGTACGCGAGGCTGGCTTAACTCAGAACTGCACACGTGCCGCGTGCAGTTCAGAACTGAACGGTGCCTTAGGTCAAGGGACCGTCTTGGGGGGCGTGGAGATTATCTTGAGATGATTTCGGGGCTTTAGTGTCCCCGCGGCCCGGTCCTCGACCAGGCCTCCACCCCCAGGAAGCAGCCCGTGACAGCTGGCTAACACCCAGGTACCTATTTTACTGCTAGGTAACAGGGGCATAGGGTGAAAGAAACTCTGCACATTGTTTCTCGCCGGCGCCCGGGATCGAACCCGGGACCACAGGATCACAAGTCCAGTGTGCTGTCCGCTCCGCCGACCGGCTCCCTTAAGGAGGGAAGGAAATTTTCAGGGGAAAGCGCCAAGCCATAAAAACTATATAGCACATGGAAGGGATCAGGATAAGGATTTGGGATGGGACGGGGGGGAAGGAATGGTGCCCAACCAGGGATTGAACTCCGACTTGCAGGAAGCGAGATCGTCGTTTTTCCGTCCACCCCAAGTGGTGGTGTGACCCATCATACCAGTTCGATCCCGCCGTCCTTCTCCAATGATTTTCTTGTAGACAGATCATGTCAGGGCTGCATCATTGTGGCTGGAGCGGTTAGTGTGCCCGCGCCGGTGGTGTAGGCGGGTCACACGTGGATTGGGTGCACTCCAGATTCCTAGTGGGTGTAGACAGACTCCAGGGTGTGTAACTGAGGTGGGGGGAAGGTGACCCAGCATGCTGTGTCACCCCCTACAGCATAGTGGCCCCCATCCCTACATAACATGTTGTCAATTTCTCTTTCAGTCTTCATTTTTCTTTCAAAGAGTTCATATTAATATCAGTTACATTATCTGGAGCTTGGATGTCATTCATAAAGGTGTCTGGATCCTCACCTTTCATGCTGTTTATTGGGGTGCTAAACATACTGGCCATTTAGAATTTAGAACATACTGGCCTTTTAGAATTTCACTAATGTCTTTGTTGTTCTCTGTGAACGTACCTTCGGTTGTAAGTAAAGGTCCAATACTGATGGAGGTTTTTGATTTCGATTTTGCACATGAGAAAAAATATTGTGGCGTTTTCTTTATCTCTTGTGTGTACAAGACACAAGTGCGCATGTTTACACGTGAGACAAGTGCGCATGTTAACACGTGAGACAAGTACGCATGTTAACACACGAGACAAGTGCGCATGTTAACACGTGAGACAAGTGCGCATGTTAACACGTGAGACAAGTGCGCATGTTAACACGTGAGACAAGTGCGCATGTTAACACGTGAGACAAGTGCGCATGTTAACACGTGAGACAAGTGCGCATGTTAACACGTGAGACACAGTGCACATGTTGAGACAAGTGCGCATGTTAACACGTGAGAGACAAGTGCGCATGTTAACACGTGAGACACAGTGCGCATGTTAACACACGAGTACAAGTGCAAGTGCGCATGTTAACACACGAGACAAGTGCGCATGTTAACACACGAGACAAGTGCGCATGTTAACACACGAGACAAGTGCACATGTTAACACACGAGACAAGTGCACATGTTAACATACGAGACAAGTGCGCATGTTAACATACGAGACAAGTGCGCATGTTAACACACGAGACAAGTGCGCATGTTAACACACGAGACAAGTGCACATGTTAACACACGAGACAAGTGCGCATGTTAACACGTGAGACAAGTACGCATGTTAACACACGAGACAAGTGCGCATGTTAACACACGAGACAAGTGCGCATGTTAACACGTGAGACAAGTACGCATGTTAACACGTGAGACAAGTACGCATGTTAACACGTGAGACAAGTGCGCATGTTAACACACGAGACAAGTGCGCATGTTAACACACGAGACAAGTGCGCATGTTAACACACGAGACAAGTGCGCATGTTAACACACGAGACAAGTGCACATGTTAACATACGAGACAAGTGCGCATGTTAACATACGAGACAAGTGCGCATGTTAACACACGAGACAAGTGCGCATGTTAACACACGAGACAAGTGCACATGTTAACACACGAGACAAGTGCTCATGTTAACATACGAGACAAGTGCGCATGTTAAGACAGGAGACAAGTGCGCATGTTAACACGTGAGACAAGTGCGCATGTTAACACACGAGACAAGTGCACATGTTAACACGTGAGACAAGTGCGCATGTTAACACACGAGACAAGTGCGCATGTTAACACACGAAACAAGTGCGCATGTTAACACACGAAACAAGTGCACATGTTAACACGTGAGACAAGTGCGCATGTTAACACACGAGACAAGTGCGCATGTTAACACATGAGCCAAGTTCGCATGTTAACACACGAGACAAGTGCACATGTTAACACGTGAGACAAGTGCGCATGTTAACACACGAGACAAGTGCGCATGTTAACACACGAGACAAGTGCGCATGTTAACACACGAGACAAGTGCACATGTTAACACATGAGACAAGTGCACATGTTAACACATGAGACAAGTGCACATACTTACACTTTACTCTGACCAGCAGATCACACAACTGAAGATCGCCAGCAACCCCTTCGCCAAGGGCTTCCGGGACTGTGATCCCGACGAGTGGTGAGTAACGCTTAGGTTCCTCCTGCCTCCCAGTTTCCACTACTCCTTTCACTATTCCATGTTCCCCCTTCATCCTCTTCTATCCTTCCATCCCTCTTCTACCCTTGTCTTCCTCAATTTCCTTCTCCGCGTCACCCAATACTGAACCTTCTTCTGTAAGGATGATGTTTTCTTGAGAGTTTAGTGAGTCTTGGAGGATTTTGAGACATAAATTGAGCTGATTCTGGATTATTGTTTCAAATATAATAATGCATTAACATTATCTCCTGCTCCTTACCGCGCCTGCCTCAGTGTGGTGGAGGTGCTCAACCAGCTGCAGCACCCCAACGCTGGGGGAGGGGGAGGCTCGACGTTACAGCAGCGAGCAGCAGCAGCAGCAGCGGCGGCGGCGGCCGCTGGCGCAGCAGGGGCGCAGCGGCAGCACCACCAACAACAGCAGCGCCACCAGGGGGTCCTAACGTCCTACCTGGGCTACCAGAATCATTCCTCAGCCAAAGAAGGTAAGTCTCTTCTATGAATGTTCGTTTGATATTGACATGCGAGAGAGAGAGAGATGCTTGTCGCTGGAGCCGTCGAGGGGAAATCTTCTCGCGGCCGCCCTGGAGCGGACTAAATCATGCTTGGCAAAAGGGGCCAATGGCATATTGCAGGCACCCCAATAGGTAATTGTCCATCTCCACCTGACAAATTTGATCCTGTCATCCCTGGCTGTCTCAGGCTCAACCCATCAGACAGGTAGTTGTGGTGCCCTGGATCCCCTGCGTCAAGTAGAACACTTTGCCCAAAACTTCCTTCGGGCAGCTTTTGTCGTGCTGGGTCAACATACCTTTGCGTTTAATGGGGTTAAACAAAGGCGAACATTGCTCACTCCAAATGCATTATAGCTGAGTTTGTTCTAGAAATGTACCGCGTAGAGAATGTTATCTTGTATGTGCGTCATGAAGCTAATATTGTCCTGGACCTTTCGTTAAGTAACTGTTGTTGTCCTGGACCTTTCGTTAAGTAACTGTTGTTGTCCTGGACCTTCACTAAGTAACTGTTGTTGTCCTGGCCCTTCACTAAGTAACTGTTGTTGTCCTGGACCTTCACTAAGTAACTGTTGTTGTCCTGGACCTTCACTAAGTAACTGTTGTTGTCCTGGACCTTCACTAAGTAGTCGTTGTTGTCCTGGATCTTCACTAAGTAACTGTTGTTGTCCTGGCCCTTCACTAAGTAACCGTTGTTGTCCTGGACCTTCACTAAGACTGTTGTTGTCCTGGACCTTCACTAAGTACTGTTGTTGTCCTGGTCTAAGTTGTTGTCCTGGACCTTCACTAAGTAACTGTTGTTGTCCTGGACCTTCACTAAGTAACTGTTGTTGTCCTGGACCTTCACTAAGTAACTGTTGTTGTCCTGGACCTTCACTAAGTAACTGTTGTTGTCCTGGACCTTCACTAAGTAGATGTCCTGGATCTTCACTGTTCTTGCCACCAAATAGCACTCTGGTGGCACTCTGAGTGCCTGAGAAGGAACTCTGTCCTTTCGGAAACAGGAAGCTCTTAAGAGTTTAAGGGACACCATCCTCGGGCAATTCTTAATGTAAATAAAATATGCAAATTGATGACACCAGACACCATTAACATTTAATTCTAGTAAATTAAAATTAAATTCCAATTCATTCAAAGATAATCACGTAAAATAAATTAAGGAAAAAATGTGATAATGAGATGACTGCTTCAGAATCCCACCCAGGAGAAGAGGAGTTTTAAAATGGTGTCCCGGCATCCTCACTTTCTTCACCTGCAGGACGTCTGTCCCCCAAGGAGAAGGGCTTGATAGAGAGATGGACATATGAGTAGATGAAAGGTAGATGGAGATATAGATGGATGGACAGATATATGTATAGATAGATATATGGATAGAAAGATAATTAGGTGGATGAATAGATAGTTTGATGGATAGACTAATAGATAGATGGATTGAAAGCGAGGTTGATAGATAGGTTGATGGATGCATAGTTGGAAAGATAGATTGATGGATGGATAGATGAATAGAGGGATAGATGGATGGATATATAATAAATAATACATGGATGGATAGAGAGTTGTATAGATGGATGCATGGCATTCAGCATTCATTTTCCTGATTCTGTTTTTAACACTGGGATGGACAACTTTTTTTTTTTAATTTTGCCCCGAGGAGCGAGTTTATTGGGCAGTGCCACTCATCCTGTGAGTGGACATACCGCCATAGCAGCATGTTCAACACTCCCTATGAACAGCTCCTCAAACAAGAAGATGAACATCTGTCAACCCTTAAAAGCTTACGTTATCTTGCGGGTGGAAAATGAGGGCATCTTTTAAGAACAGTATCAATATTTGACAAATAGTGTTTTCCTAACTCAAACAATGTGGGGTTCATTATTCTACACATATATCTAATGTCTCTCAGGTGTTCACATTCTCTCAGGTAGTGGTCAAGGCGGTGTCCGTCACATGCAACTCCGCTGCTCAACTGTTGTTTCCATTCCAAATCGCCATGATATTTGTATCCGAGACGGATTCTCGCTATTACTGATTCTCTCCCTCGTCCTCCTCCTTTTCGTCCATAATAATTGGAGTTGCCAGCTGCAACCATGTTGTACCATTGTACTCACTGGTTCGTTGTTCTATCCTCTTTTCCTCAATAACCTTGTGATATGTCCTGATGACACCTTTAATGTGTATAAGAGTCTTGGGTATGAAGTATTCAATATGGTCTCCTTCAGCGCCTTCAGCAGCCAGCACATCTGCTCCTTCATTTCCACAGATTCTAATATGAGAGGGAATCAACAGAAATATGACGACTTTTCCCTGACTGGTTAGGACTCTCACAGCTCTCTTGATTTCAGTGACTATCTCAGGATTTTCTGCACTATTTTTAGTAAGGCCTTGTTTAGCGCTTCTTTTGAATCAGTGCAGATCACTGCACCATTAGTGTTTCGTTCAAGGAATCTTAACGCTATAACAATGGCAGTTAACTCCGCTTGCGTTGAAGAGGAATAGTTCTCAATTCGTGTTTTTCCTTCATTTCCGCGTTGTAAGGCATTATTCCTAATTACAGTGTATGCTGCACCAGCCCTGCCATTGACAGGATTTGATGACCCGTCAGTGTAGATTTGATCTAACTCACCTCCGGCTTCTTTATAGATTTCCTCGAGATACTTATGCCTCATTTCTTGTGGTATCATGTTGGACTTTTTCGTTGCCATTTCATTGATGATAATCCTGCAAGAGTAATCCTCCCAGGGAGGTAACCTCTCTACAGGCAGGAGCTCACGGGCTTACTCAAGCAGGTGAAGTTCTTCGAGGTAGTAAACTGATCTGTGATGTCATTTTTTGTTTCTCCTGTTTCCTCCTGTGAGTAGCACAGAACTCAGATTTTTCTTGGCAATATCATTGTAATGGGGATCTCTGGCTATCTTAATTGCAAGCTTAGCATTCAGTTCCTAAATTCGACTTTTAACACTGGGGAGGGACAACTCCTTAGATGTTATGGGCAGTTCTTGAGACTCCAAGAATTATTGGCATGGCTTCATTGTATGCTTTCAAGTTTTTTTCATATCGCTTTGGGAATAAGTGCACTAAACTGGTATGACATAGTATATAACAGAGCGCACATAGGCTGTGTACATCATTTTAAGCACGGCAATAGAGGCTCCATGTCCATTCCAGGTCATGGCTTTCAGTGTCCTGAGTCGACTTTTACACATTCCTGTGAGTTGGTTGAGCTCCATTCACTCACCACAGATTCTGCATCTCCGCTGCTCAGCTGGTATTTCCACCCCAGAATCTCATCATGGGCATTCTTACTCCTTCGGCCACCTCCCATTCTTGCTCTAGATTTCATTATAAAAAAATCACGAGTTCAATCCCACTACATTGCCCCAAAATTCTTTTTTGTCAGATATTGTGATTTCATTGTGCTAAGAGGTTGTTGTGGGGTGAAGGTGGTGTATCGCACAGTGGTGGAGGAGAGGGGGAGGAGAAGGGGTTCCTGGGGGCTCCTCCACACTCTGTCATGCTTACACTGCCTTTATCTGGACCCTTGTAAACACAGGGGCAGCGAGAAGGTACAGGCGCCTTCACTGTAAACAATACGGCCTTCCACACTTTCTTCATCACCCTGCCACCCACCTCCACCCCGCCCTGCCACCCACCTCCACCCCGCCCTGCCACCCACCTCCACCCCGCCCTGCCACCCACCTCCACCCCGCCCTGCCACCCACCTCCACCCCGCCCTGCCACCCACCCCCCAACCCGCCCTGCTACCCACCCCCCAACCTGCCCTGCCACCCACCTTTAATCCGCCCTGCCACCCACCCCCCAACCCGCCCTGCCACCCACCCCAACCTGCCCTGCCATCCACCCTCAACCCGCCCTGCCACCCACCCCCAACCTGCCCTGCCACCCACCCCCATCCCGCCCTGCCACCCACCTCCACCCCGCCCTGCCACCCACCTCCACCCCGCCCTGCCACCCACCCCCCAACCCGCCCTGCTACCCACCCCCCAACCTGCCCTGCCACCCACCTTTAACCCGCCCTGCCACCCACCCCCCAACCCGCCCTGCCACCCACCCCAACCTGCCCTGCCATCCACCCTCAACCCGCCCTGCCACCCACCCTCATCCCGCCCTGCCACCCACCCCCCAACCTGCCCTGCCACCCACCCTCAACCCGCCCTGCCACCCACCCCCCAACCCGCCCTGCCACCCACCCCCCAACCCGCCCTGCCACCCACCCCCAACCCGCCCTGCCACCCACCCCCCAACCCGCCCTGCCACCCACCCCCATCCCGCCCTGCCACCCACCCTCAACCCGCCCTGCCACCCACCTCCACCCCGCCCTGCCACCCACCCCCACCCCGCCCTGCCACCCACCTCCACCCCGCCCTGCCACTCACCTCCACCCCGGCCTGCCACCCACCCCCCAACCCGCCCTGCCACCCACCCTCAACCCGCCCTGCCACCCACCCTCAACCCGCCCTGCCACCCACCTCCACCCCGCCCTGCCACCCACCTCCACCCCGCCCTGCCACCCACCGCCCTACTACCCGTCACCCACCGCCCTACTACCCGTCACCCACCGTCCTACCACCCGTCACCCACCGCCCTACAACCCGTCACCCACCGTCCTACCACCCGTCACCCACCGTCCTACCACCCGTCACCCACCGCCCTACCACCCGTCACCCACCGCCCTACTACCCGTCACCCACCGCCCTACCACCCGTCACCCACCGCCCTACCACCCGTCACCCACCGTCCTACCACCCGTCACCCACCGTCCTACCACCCGTCACCCACCGCCCTACCACCCGTCACCCACCGCCCTACCACCCGTCACCCACCGCCCTACTACCCGTCACCCACCGTCCTACCACCCGTCACCCACCGTCCTACCACCCGTCACCCACCGCCCTACTACCCGTCACCCACCGTCCTACTACCCGTCACCCACCGTCCTACCACCCGTCACCCAC